TCCTCCCAATTTTGTGTCATCAGCAAACTTTGATAACAAACCATCCAGTCCTGCATCCAAGTCATTTATGAAGGTATTGAAGAGCACTGGCCCCAAGATGGATCCCTGCGGAACCCCGCTGGTGACTGGTCGCCAGCCCGATGTAACCTCATTTACTATAACCCTTTGAGCCTGACCTGTCAGCCAATTGCTCACTCATTGCATTATGTGTTTATCCAGCTGTATGCTGGCCATGCCCTGTACAACCCCACCACCCATGTATTCCCTACCCCAGTCCCACACAAACCCCCTCTTCCATCCCCTCTGACCCCCAACACCCATCCCCACCTGCGAAGCACTGCCCTGAACCCCACCTTGAGAAGCCAGCCCCCTGCCCACATTGCCTCTCTGAGCAGCTGCCCATCGCTCACCAGGTCCTCAACGACGAAATGTGCGAGATCTGCAAGGTGTGGACGGCTGATAGCCTCTTCCCCTGCCGCATCTGCAGCTGGATGTACCACAATGGCTGCCTGTGCCGCATGGGCTACCTGCAGAACAACAGTGCCATGGAGGTGATGGAGACAGCACACACCGAGACGGGCTGGAGCTGCTACTACTGCGTGAGTGCCTGGGGTGGGGAATGCCAGGCTTCTGCTGGGTGATGGGTGCTCCCCAGGGAGCTGTGCCCCTTGCAGACATGAGCAGAGTCCCACATTGCAGATTGGTCTGGGGGCAATGGGGGACCTGCTGCTCCCCAGCTCCTGCCACCCACCTGATGGGGAGCCACCAGAAGACAGGGGACAGTGGCCCTTCGCCACCTCCTCACCCTGGCAGCCAGCCCCCCAGCACCTTGGTGGGGGACATGACACCAGGGGACCCACCGCTGGGCATGTGAGGAGCTGTGGCAGAGCTGGAATGGTGCCCAAAGCCCAGGGGAGTGAAGCCACCCTACTGCAGCACCCCTGGGTGACACAGCACACTGCCCCTCTCTGCGTGCCCACACCCGCACATCTTCAAGGGATCCCGGTGCCGCAGGATGACCAGGTGCTCACCCCACCCCCACCCCATGCCTTTGCCCCATGGCTCCTCTCTGCCTCCCACTCCAGGACAACCTCAATCTCCTGCTGACGGAGGA